TCTTCCCTCCACTGTGAGCTCTTACATGAGGTCTGGGAAGGGGTGAATCCTGGCTCCACTCCTTATGGTCAGTCAGCTGCAGTGCTTGCACCTGAGCTCCCCTGGGTTGACCTTGCCTTCCCCACCAGGTGCTCAATCACTGTTTCAAGCTGTGACTTAGCATTGCAAACTTTAATACCCTTTTTTTAATAGAGTAATCATAGTCAGGGAAGGAAGGCTTAGATGACTTCTAACTGCAGACTTAATTCCATAACTGTTTTCTGAAGCATATGCGAGTGAAATATTAATGATAAACAGTCTCCAGCAATAATCATATGTATTTTCTGCCATAATGGCATATTGGACAATACTGTCCAACTGGACAAAATAAAATAAATCAGCCTTACTTGCCTATTACAAAAATCCCCCACAGAAAACAGATGTTTGCATTGTTCTACCCATACTAGTTTCTCCAAGAGTTCAAAAATCAAAGGGAATAACAAAGGAGCCAGAGAATCCAGTGATGCTTTGCCATAAAATATAATTATACAAAAAGACATTCAAAATCAAGGGTAATATAGACAAATACAACAAATAGTAGTACAGTGGAATGCTTTTGTAATTCTCACTCTTCTTGCAAATTAAGGAAGTTAGTATGATGTAGAAACTACAAACAGGATATTAAGGATTAGAAATCAGGCCTAAAGATTTCTCAGACTAATTAGGGGAAGAAAGTTTCTGTAAAAAAAAAAAAAATAATAATAATTCTTAAAACAAGGATTCTTCAGGATTATAACTTCAGTTTTTACGTTGCATGATGAACTGTCAGATCTCATCTTGGTCAAGTTTAGTTAATCTACTGGCAGTGGAACTCGGAAGAACATATACCGTCTGGCCAAGCTCTTGGTCATACTACAACCACTGTCAAAATAGCAGAAGCACATCTTCCCTGTCAGTAACGCAAAGCATAAATCACATTCATCACTAATTCACACTTGGCATAAAAACCAATCATGCCTTGGTCTTTGTGCTAAATGATCAGACAACCACTTTTAGTCGGGTTTCAACACAAACTAGACAATAGTGTTATTTTTGGTCAGGTTTTCCCAGTCCCTACATATGGATCTTGGCACTTGGGATAAGGCAACCTGAATACTGTGTGTAGGCTTGGGAAGGAGGACATAAAACAATATCAGAGCTTCCAAAGGAGGGCCACTGAGATGAAGGGTCTGGAGGGCAAGATGCGTGAGGAGCAGCTGAAGTGCCCTGCTTTGCTCAGCCCAGAGCAGAGGAGGTAGATGGGAAGCCTTATGTCAGCCTACAGCTCCTTGTGAGGGAAGCAGAAAAGCAGCATTGATCTCTGCTCTCTGGCAGCAGCAGCATCAACTGAGGGAACTGCATGGAGCTGCATCAGGGAAGAGTCAGGTTGTGGGTTAGGAAAGGGTTATTCAACAGAAGGTGGTTGGGCACTGTAACAGGCTCCCCAGGGCAGTGGCCACAGCTCCAAGCCTGTGGGCATTCAGGAAGCCTTTGGAAAACATTTAATTTAAAAGCTGTCTCCCAGCTCTTCCCAGGTTTAGACTGCTTGCACTCTGTTTCGCAGTTCTCCCATGTGTCCCTGTATACCACCCTGTATCTAATACAGGGAGTTAGGCTGCTGTGTTTGAATCCATGTGAGATGAAGGGAAACTAAAACACACTCAAAATCTGTCAGATTAGCACCAATACAATACAGCAGCTTACTTTTCTGTGACAGCAAAAAATTTCAAGTCCCTCAATCTGCTTTTGATATTTGCCCAAGTCTATCATATATAATAACATGAAGGTTAAATTAAGAAAATATTCTAGCATGCCCATAGTGTAAACACATTCAATAATAATTTTCTGCAAAGAATATCATAAAGCCTAGTACACCTTCCTATACATATCAAAACAAATAAGAACAACATCATTCAAAGTTTAACATGTAGCCTCATCAGAAAACAAAACATGTTTCCTTCCTGTCATCAGAAAATGACTGCACCAGTCAGTAGAGAAGTCTAGAGTCTCAGATGCTCTTTTCCTTGCAAATCAAGGCAATTATTGGAGTCTACCAGCTGTTTCAAGTAATGTGCGGGAACTTTCTTGAAAGGAGAAAAGCAGAACCGCTTTGAAACTGCATCACAGATAGCACAATTCTTACTTCAGATAACTATCTTAAAGTTTCCAGCAACTGATTTAAATGGCATAGTCTCACAAACATAACAAGGAGGTATTTTGGAGGAACTTAAGACAATACTTCTGTTAAAGATATGTTATTTTTTCATGTAGAGATAATATTCCTTTTTTCTCTTTGCTTTGTACTAATTTTTCTAACAAAAAAAAAAATTGCAGAAAACTAGAAATTCCTGTGCTGCAATACATAAAGTATGTTTGTCTTGAACATATTTTTTTCCTTGAAATCACATTAAGGGAAGAGAACTGGAGAGCAAGCGGAAAGACAAGAAACAATGGGCTGCTACAGAAAGGAGAGAGTGGGGAGAGAGACAAGAAGCACAGTGATATGGTAGCAGTATTTGTGACATCAGCAGAATTAGCCAAAAAGAGAGGTGTGTTAGTAGACCATAGAAGAGGCAACGCAGCAGTGCTGTGCCTAACCACATTCTGGGGAGCCAGATCCCATGCAGATGAAGATGATGTTGCATGGAGGCTTGCAACAGAGAGAGTTGTAACATCCAGGCAGTGACCACCAAAAATCCATTATCTCTGGAAGATTGAATCTGTGCAGTTTTGCTAATAAATTGCTCCTATGAACAAACACTGCCAGTGAACATCTATGCAGAACTTCAGGGTGCAACGTGGCCATAGGGTGCTGAGTGCAGCAACATCACACAACCAGGGAGCATTTCCAGAAAAACAGAGCCACAGAATGACTGACGTTGGAAGGGACCTCTTGAGGTCACTTGGTCTTTGAAGAGTAACAAGGAGAGCTGAACTCTTTTCAGCTGATGCTAACCTAAATTTTACAGTACTTAGAAGTGCCTGCATGAGTAGTCTGCTTATTGTTTACTGAGGTATTTAGGTTAGAAATTTAATTGCTCACAGCCAACATGGGTCCATGAAGGAAAGGTCCTGTTTAATTTATTTAATTTCCTTTTGGACAAGGTCACAGATCTAGCTGACCAAGGGAAGCCAATTAATGTTATCTTCTGGGATTTCAGTAAAGCTTTTGTTATTGTTTCTTACAACATCCTTCTGGACAAGATGTCAAACAGGGCTAGACAATAATGTGATAGGTGATAGCAAATGGGGTTATATCAAGCTGGCAGCTGGTCACGAATGTTATTCCCAGTGCTTCATTTTAGGAGCAGTTCTCTTCACTGTTTTTTATAAATGATCCTGAGGTAGGACAGAAGGTGTTTTTTGCAATTCTCCTGATGATACTAAATTGGTTGGAGTTGTTAATCCCATCAAGCGCAGAGAGGCCTGGAGAGAGAGATCTGGAGAAATTTGAGATCTGAGTAATCACCAATTGCATGAATTTTAACAAGAGCACTTGGGAATGGACAGTCCTTTCTGTACATACAGACTGGGGCAAGAGACAACTGCATAGCAGCCCCACTGACATGGCTTTGGGGGGGGAGCTCTTGGTCAACAGCAAGTCAAGAACATGAGTCAACAGTGTGGCAAGGCAGCCAGGAAGGCCAATCATATCCTGGGGTGCAACCAGCACGGAATACCTGTATAGTCAGCAGGTAATTGTAAGAAATCTCACAGTTAAAACTCACAATGCCCAAGATGATCTTCCATAATCCTGAATGCTCCAGCAGGTAACCCCCAGCTATGCTGTCACATGCAGTTCACTTGCAGTTCATTCCACTGCTACCTCACAGCTAGAACCTTCCTGCTTTAAGTGGCACAGGCCCTCAATCCCTGTCCTGTGCAACAGGTAGTTTGCACAGTTTGGGTAGACAGATTGGGAGGGTTTTTAAGGGGCTTTACCTCTGAGGATGGAACTGAGATTCACCAGAGCAGATCTGATTAATCAAAGTCAAAACAACAAGGCTAAAGAGGCAAACCACAGCAGGACTAAAGCTACTCCTGTCAAGATCTGTTTAGACTGTCAGACCATCCATTCAACATGTCACTCAAACTTCAGTCCACAGTACAAATACATGAGAGACTACCAATAAAGTAGAGTAGGGTTAATTCATTCCAGCACATGTGCCATACTACCACATTTATGCTGTCATTGTTTCGTTAGCAAGCTTTTGGATGACTCTAGAAATATCCAAATGATGCATTTGCAAAAATTATTTGCCAGACAGCTTCAGTTAAAACAAAATATGTAATTTTAAATCAAAGCCAAAGAAGCTCAGCTACTTCTACAAATAGATGGCAGCTTAACGATCACATGCTACCCTCCTCTTCTAACTGTCTGCATCAGTGTATCAAACTACAGCAAGACAAAGGATAAGACAAATGAATCATGCACATCCTCTCCTTTTTACTCCACTAAATGTGTAACAAGGTAAGTACCTCCAAGAAGGGATTTTTCTGCTTGTGTAACTTGGTATTCCAAAATGAAAACTTCACTTTCCTTGTAATTCCCTCCCAGTCATAATGGTGATGAAAATTTCAAATTCATATCAACATTGCATACTTGAGTATTCTCAGATGAGTTGATGTTCATCCATTCATAAAAGTATTTATAAGAACTATTTTTCAGGAAAAATAGTGTAGTGAGTTTGAAGCAACTGTGTTCCTACTACACAGCCCACAGCCATTCAGCTAAGCAGCAGCTTTAAAGAAGAAAGAGAAAATGGGAAATGAAGCAGATTACTATCAGGCAGTTGAAGGTAATTTGGATTTTTTTGTTTTACTCAGTAATACAAAATACAACATACCTATATTTTAGTTTGTCAGTTTCCTAATTACAGATTTCAAAGATTTTACACCAGCTAGTGGTACTTCTGTAGTTCAACTGTCACAAAAAAAAAAAAAAAAAAAAAAAAAAAAATTCATTTATATTTAATTAGTACCTCATGTAGTATTTCAAAATTCTGGGAAGCAACAGGTGTCCACAATTAAAAACATGGAGAAATCACCACCTCCGAGTCTCAAAGCCTCAAGAAACTCACATTCATGGTAAACTCTTTCAGTTCCCAATGTTTGTACTCCTGGAAAAAGTAAAAATAACTCCAACGAACATTCCACTCTCTTAGCAGGACTGGCCACAGTACCCTGAGGCTTAAAAACAAAATATAGCACAGTAAACAAGTACATAGAATTATCTGACAGTGTGAATACATACAGAATGTACTGCTTTGTTCCTTTTAATTATGGTGCCAAACATGGGACCATCTCACAAATGCTGTGGTTTGAATTCAGTGACAATGCCTCAGGTTCATCAAAGCTTTGGAAGAAAATTAAAGGAAAAAAACCCTTCTGATTTCCAAGAAAGACAAAAATGGGTTGTTAAATGATAATAATTAGAATAATTTTGTTTCTTTTCACTATAGAGCTATAACAAAAAAATCAGCCTACACACATCTAAACTACTCTGTGCCAGAAACTGAGTGAGGAAAAATACTGAGGACCATCTAACAGAAAATCCTGTAGCTAAAAGCTTAAATGAGCATATAACTCTGAGTTCTCAGTGACATCCTGCAGTTTCTAAAACAAACAAATAAAAAACAATGACAATTTTTTCTTTCTACTCTTACATCTAAAATAAGGCAATTTAAACTAACAGGGCATAATGAACTCTCATTCTCCAGATTCAAAATTAAGACCTAACAACATTTAAGCACCTTTGCAGAAAGAAAATGGATTTCAGATAGTGAATTTCAGTTTAACAAAGATGAAGTCCAACAAGAATCAACGGTTGAAAAATAAGCAATTTAAAATGAGCAGTTAACAACTTTGGGCAGTTGATGGGGCATATCAGCACAAAGTTGTGATACTGCTCTTATGGATACTTCCAAATTAAAATTGATGCACTTTTCTGAGATTCCATCAGCATATTCCTCACAAGTTTCATAAGGAAAAGTAATTGTTTAATGCTGATATCCCATAATTCCTCCATAATTCAGATAGATAAAAGAATGGCATTACCTTCATTTGCACTAAAGAAATAGTCTTCAGTTATTTGATTAAATCCCGATCTATCAAACAAAGACAATATTTGGTATTCATGAAGCAGTTAGCACTCTTGCTACTTTAAGCTAGAGAAAAACATTTACAATACTGAGTTAGGCATTAATAGTGTATTATGTTTACCACAGAGAAATTACAGGAAAATATTAAAACAGTATATTGTGTTTCTTCATCTAGAAGAATTACATGTGATTAAAAATCTCTATGCTACATATAAACTTCTACTCTAATAAATTTTAGCCTTGTTCTATTGCTTATTACAAAGACTAAGTAACTGTACATTTTGATTGCTATAATTTCCATATACTTAAGAACTAGCTAACCCTCCATGAGCAAAATTGCATCAACTAATCTTGAACAAACTTTTTTTAAATTACAAATGTACTGGCATACAGTGTGGTTCCATAAACATAAGACAAAATACTCCTACACAATATACTGCAGAAGAAATCTTTTCCTCAAATAAAACACACTCTATAAAAGAGAATCAGTAATTAGTGGGCTTATCCTATATTTTCCTCCATCCTCAAAGACATCCTTGTATATTTCTTTTGGCTTCTATTAGAATCTGACTTGTTTTATTATTGCCATTTGCAAATGAGCCAAATGCCATCAAATCTGTAGCTGCTCAGTCAGATTTGCTGCATGGACAAGACAGGTAGTGAAACACCTTCCCAAAAATCTGCATTAAGCTGTCAAGACCCTGGATTCTGCCAGTTGGATATTTCGAGAAGGGGCATAAGGGAACGAGAATAAAATGAGTAAGTTTTAATATATATCAATTGTGTTAACTACTGAAAGGGCTGAAAGAGCAAAGGATTCTATGGAAAGTGTTACCATCACCTTTTTAAAGATGCAGATTAATGCAGATGCACATGGAACGCAAAAGATGACCAATAATGTAAACTATATCTCACATCAGATGCTGAATAACATATAATTGCAGGCAGAAGTAAACAAGACCAAAAAACAAACATACACAGGCAAAAAAACATAAGAATACTATTATATAAAACTAGTGTAACTAACCCAATACATAGAATATAGAAGTATGTGCACAATCAACGAATATATGTTATAATTAAGAAATATACAAGAAAGTAAGGCTAAACAGTTTATCATGCTAAAGAAGAATGGATAGAAAGCTTACCCTTGCCCTGGGTTCACTAAGAAGTCTCCAAGAGAGGCAGTCTCCACAAGAGAACCCTCCCCAGTGGCAGTCAACTCTTAAATGGGGTACAGGAGAGGTGGAGCCAGGCTTCCCCCCTTCCAGTAGCGCAGGTGAATTGCCTTCACCTGTGCTCCCAGGGCTGACTCATTACTCACATCAGGTAGTTCAATCAGAGGTTCAGGCCGTGATTCAGCAGTTCCCATACAATATGCCACTAGCATTCAAGGCAAAATGATCAAAATATGAAGGTAAATGACTGGAATTGAAATATCTCAGTAAATCAAAATAAATGAAATCCTAGCATGGAAATATCATGATGGACCATTACTGTAAAGAAGGGCAGGAAGTTAACATTTATGTGATATTAAAAGGAAACAAACTCATAAGAGCTGCAATAAAACCTGAAATACTTGTAAATAAAATGGTAAAGCCATTTAGTTGAAATTTCAAAACAAAATTAAAAGTTCTCTCCACTCCTCAGTCAAAGCAGACAAAAAAATTATCATCCACTTGATCCATGTAGATATAGTTCACTTTGATAGTGGCCCTTCTGAATAGTTCTAAGGTATAGATCAGTATAAAAGAAAAAGTAACTGAAAAGAGAACAACAGCAAGAGAGGAGATAAATTTGAAGAATCTAGATGAAAAAATCTCACATTCTAGGTGATATATTCCTCATTCCAAAAATGCATGGTCATATTTATAGCAGAGAGCACATCTCAATTACTACCAAAATGACAAAAAAATTATTCTAAAGGACTCAAAAAAGAAAACATGCATCAAAAAAAAAAAAAAAAAAAAAAAAAAAAGCATCAAAAGCAAAAAGCAACCACAGCAAAAGAAAGACCACACCAAAGAAAACATGCACCACAACTGCTACAAACTGGACTGTCCCAGTAACAGGGCCTAAAGACCAGAACCCTTCTGAACAGAATGTGATCAATACTGAATTAGGGCTTCAATTGTCAAACTGTATCTGTTCACACTAATTTGTCTTTATCCTTGATGTAACACTTTGGTGAACTATTCCTGCCACAAGGCTATTATTAATAAAGCAGTGTTTCTGGGTTTCAAGTTAGCAATAAAAATCACATATGATTTATTTGGGAAGGATGTTAGTTTGTTTATAATGATTACTACACCTACACACAAGGGCATAGTTGTCATTCATCATACAAAAAATATGTGAAAGAAAGGCTAAGAAGCAGTGTCTGTTTTTGCCTGCTTGGGCCTTTCTGCATCTTAATGTCAAATATAGGGAGGTCCTCAAGCTTTTAAATCTTGGTTAGTCTATTCACTAAACTGATCATACATTTCTCAACTGCACTTGTTCTCATTTGAATTTTAGTGAGGCCTCCGTACATCATACTGTCAGACTTCTAGAATAAAGGGCACAATAAAAATATAAAATGATTGATGAGTCCCTTATAAAAAAAACATACTGTCAGCACTGTTTTATTTTATGTTCTAATTTGGGGCAATTGATGTTGTCAGAAGCTGAAACAAAGTAAAGTAGTAACTGCTGTTGCAATTTTTAAATAATTTATCATTCAGATCTTGGAAGAACACCTTTCATTGTCTTAACAAAGAGAATTTGTTACCCAGACTGTAAGTGAAGTGAGAATCAATAGAGAGAAATAAGATTTAATGCACAAGTACTATGAAGTTAACAAGAACACATTATAACTTTTCTGTTATATTTACTACTCCTATACATTTAAGTAGGGATATAACTCTTTTAAGAAAGTAAAAAACCTCCATTTTCTTAGTCTACTAGCTTTTCCAGTCATGAGTAAGTAGCATAGAAAACATTTGCAACACGTATACTAGTGAAAGTGTCAATTATTTTCAAATACTTTCTCAAGCATAAGTCTACTTAAATTATTTCCTAAAATAAAATACACATATATATATATATCAACATTTGTAAGAACATTAAGTATGCAAACATTTCTTAATTTCTGCCTTTTTCAATTTTATCCATACCTACAATACTGTCGCACTCAAAATGCAACAAAGAAAATAAAGGAAAATGTCATAGTTGAAAAAGCGTTCTGGAAGATGGAATACAATTCTTAAATATTTGCATGCAGGAATTATGTATACAAACAATATTAAACAGCTATACCTGGAGGGTACAGTGAACTCCAATTACTTTCAACATCATCTACATTCAGGAGGCTATTACAGTCCACATAAAACTGCAGTTTTCTTAGGTTTGAAATCATCCTATTAATGTACCTTCATTTTTTATGTATTGTGTAAACAGAGAAAACATTATTAAGCAATCATTAAACAAACAGGGAAGATTATGTGTAGACTTTGTTTTCAAATGTAAAATTATTATTGCTTATGTTTCAGCTTGACTTCATTATTATATTTAATAAAAGACTTCGTCAAAAACTTCAAGAATTCAACAACACTATTAGCATGGACAAGTAATGAGGAAAAAAGACAGTTGTTAAATTATTCAGAGAATAAAAGGGAAAGAAATTGCAATTTATTTCTCTTCTTGATATCATTTTTGCAGAGGTAAAAAATGCTTTACCATCACCACTAAACATTTATCATGCTTTTATGTTTAAATTAAGATAAATTTTCAACTCCTCAGCAATCCAACTCCCAAGACATAAAAGAAAATAAAATAATTTTCTTAAATTTACCTGTGATTATTTGATAACCATGGGCAGTGATAATAATAAAGAAAAAATGAAACTTCACAGAGTCTGTGAAGTAAATTCTTTACTTTAAAGAGTAAATTCTTCAAGGGTGTCATGGTTTTATGATTTTTGGTCATCAGTATTCCACACCATAACATCATGTAATGCACTGGGGGTGGGGTTTGATATCTGCCGAATGTTCGTCCGTCGGAGAAGAACTACATTTCCCCAGGAGGCTTTGCGGTCAGCAAGGGGATATAACTCCATGCAAGGTCACCTGAGCCTTCTTCTTCGCCTGCGCTTCGCTGTCTGCGCTTCGCTGTCTGCGCTTCGCTATCTGCGCTTCGCCGCCTGCGCTTCGCCGCCTGCATTTCGCCATCTGCACTTCGCCGTCTGTACTTCAGTCACTCAACCGGACTGCACTTCTCACCCCAGGATTGTGGTGAGGTCTATACAATTCAAACAGACTCTCTCTCTCTCTCTCTTTGTAGTTTACTAATACTATATTTAGTAAAATCATTTGTTCCACCTCAGATCAGTGCTGTTGTTTTTTTCAAGTATTTTGGGGTCCCCTGCTTCCCCTTTTCCAGAGGCGTGGATCCGCAGATCCCTCCGCCCTGCTGGTCACGGAACTGGGCCGGACCAGCCCATAAACCGTTGACATTTTTGGTGGAGAATGCGGGCAGCAGTTGCTTTCTAGCTGTTTAGACTCTCTGCTCTCGGAGAGTTCCGTTGGTAAAGCTTATCTGTTTCACTGGTACTCTCTAAAAAACGTGACCTTGAAAACTCCAGGCGAACTGCCAGTATCGTAGGATATTTGTAAACTCAGAGCTTTACTATCTCGCCTCTGTAAAAAAAAAAAAAAAAAAAAAATGCTTTCTGTAGTGAAACTTACTTTTAAAGGGCTGCACGCTGCTGCCTCTTCTTTCCTAATGCTCAAAACATACTGGGCATTAATTAAGCTTGCCACCTTGCTCTATGGAGCAATCGGCATATACAATCAAATGAAAACATGGGTGGAAATATGGACCTGGCACGTTCGTACAATGTGGCTTACAATTCCGGAGACAGCTGCCAATTTTACAGGACTGGGATTTTTTAAGGTTTCCAGTCTCACCTTTCAGCCTGTAATGCAGTTTCTGAATGAACACCTAGTCGCATTACTAATCTCCCTGAATGTATT